TTTGTAAAAGTGTTCTCATTCTCCGCTTAAATGCCTGTAAAAAAAGGCTTTCAGTTTATTAAATAAAATTGCATTAAAACATGTTATTTTTAGGATCCACAAAATTTATATGATTTTCATTTTTTAATAGAATGGTGTCACTAGTAATTCCTATTAAATTAAAAATCTAACTTATAAATTATTATTTTTATTTACATACAATAATTTTTATATAAAAAATATAAATAAAAAAATTACTTATTAGAACAGATGAAGAAATGTCCATGTCAATATAAATATAACTCTTTTATTTGAAAAGAAATATTTTTTTTGTGTTCACAATATAAGTATAGCTTAAGAAACTACAATAAAACGAAACAACTTGCAAATAATAATATAAAATAAAATTAAAGACACGCCTTTAAATCTTTATTTTACAATATTGATTATAAAAAATAACAAATCAACTTGAAAGAAAATAAAATGTGTTAGAACATAAATTTTCACCCAACCTGAAAGAAAAATAAAACTTGTTAGGTAATGACTACAATCAAATAACATGTACCTTTAATTTTCAAAAAATATTTCTAGGTACAATATTATTACATACTAAACACATAGGTCATATGGACAAAGAAGATAATAGAGTTTAAAAAAGTGAAAAGGAAAGTAAATAATAATTATAAATTTATAATGTTTACACATAAATGATTTGAATTTATATTTGGTAGTGATTATTTAAAGCATATCTTAATTATTGTTGATGACTTTTGTGGAGAAAAAAAAGTACTAGAAAGGAATTGAATAGTGTCAATAAAAAATTTAACATCTTTTTTAAAATATTGAAATAGTGACAAGATCTTAGGAGTGTAGACAAAGAGATATGGACAAAAAACACAATATTTTTATATAGGTTCGTCTCAATTACCAAGATTACATCTATATCTTAATCAACCTGATTAAGTTTCACTATCTTTTAGAAAGATACAAATATTATTTCATAAGTTACTTCTAGTTCAATCTAAGTATTCTTTGACTTGTCTCTTCAAACAATTATTCAAGTATTTTTTGAATAACGAAGTCTCTTTAGACTTCAACAACCAAGTATTATTTACAATAAAGCTTCTTTAAGCTTGAAGCGCTAACACAAAATTAAAGCTAAAAAATCTCTTGTTTTATCTTACTTTCAGGACGTGATACAACCAAATTGAATATATATAGAACTTTTTATAAAAAGAATGAATAAAAATTTTAAAGATAGTTGTTCAAGCTTCTTTACATAAGTACTTCGTAAAGATGACCATTACAAATCTTTGAGCATCTATCGTAGGGTTGTTTCATCTGTCTTCGTCTTCCTTCATTATGAAAAGAAATGTTCGTTGATGCATTAAATGTATTTCATCAAATTATTACTTTTTATTTGATCAAAGAGACAACTTATACCTTTAAGGTATCAAACGGGACTAATTGTTGCGTGTGTAAGTCATAAATGACTTTTTTGAAACTTTGCTTACTTTAAGAAATTTGTTTGTCCTTTATTCCTTTTTTGAAGTACAAGTACCAAAAGAGTTTTTATTTCTTTTGACATGTTAAAGAATAACATAGACAAAAATAATTTAATTATCAAACATCATAAATAATATATATTAAATACATTTGTCTTGCACTGACAAAATAATTCTTTTAAGAGATTACATATCATCATAACCAACTATATATATATATTCTATTTTGTTTAAGTTTGATATATTAGCCAATACATTGAGGGATATGATACATAGCCAATCGTATATATTGGTTTTACTTAAAACAATCAAATCTTACTTTTAAAATTAAAATCTCAGTTGGTTAAATATGATATGTAAATGTCATAAATTTGTTTGGCGTCAAAGTTTAATTCCCATAGATCAATGAAAAATTTGAACCAATTAAATCACTTTCACATCAATTATAGTCAAAGGCAACAAACATGTAGATCATCTAACATAAGATAATTTAGTTTAACTTGTTTGACATAAAATTATTTCAGCTTAACTTGTTGTTGAAGTCCTAGATATGCAATAGTGTAAAATATTTATAAGAAATTTTTTGTTGTCCATAGTTCTACTGTGACTTGAGCTAATTGTCTTTTTATAAAAGATACATGTGGTTTTCTTTAAAATAAAAAAGAAAAAAGAAAAAAAGAAAAAGCCTATTTATTATTTTTTTTTGAAAAATTATTTTTATTTTTGGTCCTTAGAAAAGGGTCCAAGCCTAAACTATTTTTCCTTTCGGTGATGGATTCTAAAGCAGTAAAAGACGAGGCTCAAATATATACAACTTTTTTTTATTTAAATAAATACATCCTTTTTTATAATAAAAAAAACTAAAATACCTTTCTAATTAATTTCTTATTTTAAATAAATTTATTTTGAAAATTATCTTTTTATTTTCCTTCATTTATTTTCCTCTAATTCATCTCCTTAATAACTTTTTCTTGATTTTTTTAATATTTTTTCTTTTTAGTTTTTTATTTCTCTCTCCAACAATGAAAACAATTATATCTCTTTTTTTATTTTTTAAATTTTATATTTTCACTTTTAACTTTGTCATTCCTTAAATCCTAATTTTTTACTCTATCTTCATTATTTCCTACATTTTTCATTTATAATTTTTGTAATTTATTTAATATAATTTATACACATCAGATAATTTGACACTTAAATAAGAAATAGCTCAATAAATTATTAATGTAGGGAGGTATATATATATATATAT